CTGGCTTCATCCTACACATTTTTGTATTTGTGTCTCTTACCTGTCGTTTTTTCCGTTGCATCCGGTTTGAAATCACAACGATTCTAAAGAAGTTTTCACTTCAATAACGAGGCTTGAAAATGGTTACCGACTCAGCAATGCCTAACAGTATCGAGACAATCGGTACTGGGGCGCTGATCTTCCGCCGGCACCTGCGGAGGGACGTGCACACCAGCATCAGACCGACCAATCATTATCTGAGCTTAGAATGCATTAATAACTGCAACAACAACAATAAAAACAATGAAATACATATCTATATTTAATTATAAAAAATTACAATTGCAATGCAGAATTACAGCACGGAATAGTTAAAATTGATATTTTCGAATTTTATTTGCATATTCAGAAGATATACTTTTAAACTTGCTTTAAAAGAACTTAGTGTTCTCTGGTGCCGGATAGGTGAAGGAATATTGGAATATAATCACTACATAGTATAAAACAAAGTCGCTATATCTGTCCCTATTTATGCCTAAATCTTTAAAACTACGAAACGGATTTTGATGCGGTTTTTTTTTAATAGATAGAGTGATTGAAGAGGAAGGTTTAATAACATCCATTAAATAGAGGAGAAATCAATAATTAATTATAGTTTCCGAAGCGAAGCGAAGCGAGGGCAGGTTGCTAGTATAATAATACTTAAGAATTTAAGGCTGATGGATAATGAAGTTGACGGGATATAAAAAGATCCTAAGACTATAGACAAACTAGCGCCCGAACTAGTGATTCTCGAAGTCTCTAAAACCATAAAAAACAATCACATTGGGCAATTGAAACATGACGTCGAACGAAGTCTCAGATATTTTACTTCATAACCCAATGATGACCTGTAAAGGCCATTGTTATCTGAAATATATAAATGTGACGGTTTCACTTGTCTCTCGGACTTTATACTCCGCTCGTAATCTATTATCGTTTGAACGAACGTTTTATAGTGAAACTGCAATGTATCTTTCTTTCTTCTATCTTTTTTTATTGCCCATGTAGGCAGACGAGCATACGGCCCACCTGATGGTGAGTGGTTACCGTCGTCCATAGACTTCAGCAATGCCAGGGGCAGAGCCAAGCCGCTGCCGACCGCTTAATACTCTCCACAATCCTCGTTTGAAGGAAGAAGGAAGAAGGAAATGTCATAGCGTTCGGGAAAAACCGTGGAGGGGAGCTCATTCCATAGCCGGATGGTGCGTGGCAAAAAAAGCCTTTGGAAACGCACTGTGGATGACCGCAGTGGCTCCAGGTAGTATGGATGAACTCTACTCCGGTGGCGGGCGGTGCGATGGTAAAAACGAGATGCCGGTATTATCTCGAACAATTAACTGACTTCAAAAAAGGAGGAGGTTCTCAATTCGACTGCATGTTTTTTTATGTTTGTTACCTCATAACTGTTGACTGGGTGAATCGATTTTGATGAATCTTTTTTTATTAGAAAGCTGACGCTTCCCGTGTGGTCCCATTTCAATTTAGTCCAGTTCTGATAATGGTATCAATGAAAAAACCATATAAGTCTTAAATTTGCATTAAGTACGTGCGCGACAAATAGATGAATAACTCAATAACTCGATATCACGCCAACCGATTTCGATGATTATTGTTTTTAGTGTATATTAATTTGTTTTGGAATATCTTTTTTTTCTATTTAAAGTCGGTTTTTGTTAAAGCATATCTATTTACAATTATTATTGGTTGCTAAGAATTTTTTGTTTAGCATAAGGTTTTTGATTTTGGTATATGGGTCAAGGAGCTTACTGCGATTTCGAGCTAGCGGTAAATTCACTGAAGAAAACTGCTCTTGCTAGGGCAGATACTAGCGGAGTCTCTCATATTGAGCTCAGTCACCTTATCTACCAGTCGGCGCGTAGTTGGATTAGCCCACAGGCTACCAATTGAGTAGGGCTTATGCCCACGACCCACCTGATGCTGTGTGGTTACTAAAGGGCATAGATATAAATACCACTATTTACTACATAAATGATAGTATTATAACGGCTGTTCCACCCTTCAAACCAGCACGCTTATTCTTTTTTTATTTATTACTTAGATGGTTGGACGAGCTCACATCCCACCTGGTGGTAAGCGGTTACTAGAGCCCACATACATCTACAACCCACCTTAAGATATAAGTTCTAAGGTCTCAGTATAATTACAACGGCTGCCCCACCTTTCAAACCGAAACACATTACTGCTTCACGGTAGAAATAGGCAGGTTGGTGGTACCTACCCGCGCGGACTCACAAGAGGTCCCACCACCAGTGCAAGAGGTCCTACCACCAGTGCAAGAGGTCCTACCACCAGTACAAGAGATCCTACCACCGGTACAAGAGGTCCACCAGTTTTTTCCGATCCGGTGGTAGTTTCTGCGAAGCACTGCTCTTGCTAGGGTCAGTGTTAGCAACACTCCGGTTTGAGTCCCGTTAGCTCACCTACACACGTTAAGGTGAAGTTGGAATAGCCTCCCAAGGCTATCAGCACAGTTAGGAAAAAAAAAGAACGCTGTTGCCGTATCTCCGATGAATGCCTCTTTCTTCACCCACCCACAGGAAGTGTTCGACTGGTCCTATTTTAGACCAGCACTACACTTTGAGAATAAATGAAATAAAAAAATAAATAAAATAAAAACTCGTCACCACGACCTCTTATCTCAAAGGTGACCCTCATTGTCTCCGGCAACCGATAAAGACCACAACTAAACCTTGATCAATTCTTATACAGTCATTTTTATTAGTAAAAATTAAATCAACATTCTTCACTAATCGCCTCTTATTAGTAATATACAAGCCATTCTGAATGTATTATCAAGAAGGCTCATCCAATGTCATGCGAGAAAAACACGATAATAGCACCCCTGTTATTTTGAACTTCATTTCTAAAGCGTTAAAGGTAATATTGCATTGGTCTGGGTTTTTTTTTTAAGTAGGTACCTTTTGTTTTTTTTTCTCCCATCACCCGCCCGTTACATATCGAAGAAATATGCGATAATTACGACTTTAAACAAACAATGCTTTTAATATGATAAAAATTTTATATTGCATAAGATTTTTTTTTGTAATTATGAAAGTGATCTTTCTGTTAGGTTTTCGTGTCCAAAAATCTGAACCGATTTTGACGAATTTTGGTATGGAAATTATTCGAGTCCTGGTAAAGAATATAGGTGGCTTAGTATGGGTTCCGCTCATGAGATATAAAGTATAGTTTCATACAGAAAATAATACAAATATTGTAAGAAAAACTAAAACTGAATTCAACAAAAGACTGGACTATAAAGGGTATCACGGAGAATACTGGACAGATATTGATAAAATTTAAATGGGAGCCACACGAGAAGCACTAAATAGTTTTAAAAAAAAAAAACATCAAAAACTGTTGACCTAGAAAAAAGCTTTGTTATAATACACATTTCATTGCACCTACCACTATTTACTATGCACTACCTTTGGTTGACTGGTAGAGAATGCCTTAGGCATTAAGTCCTCTAAGTGTTTCGGGTCCCCCTCACATGTCGGTCTGGGGACCGGCGAAAGGGGCCTAAGAAGACGACGTGCAAGCTGCTCTGCACGCGTTTTACGCAAGAGCATCTGGGTGATGGAAGGCCGGCTATCCTCGACCCACGCTGGTTCTGGTCCAGCGGGGTATTCCGTAGGATAGCTCACTCTAACCGGCGCCATCTAGGCGGGCTTCGGATAGCCTGCCGACCGAGAGGGCTGATGCTCCTGACCAAAAAAAAAAAGGCATTAAGTCCGCCAATGTAAATCTTACATGAAGTGTAATAAATAAATAAAACAGTCGGAAATGAGAACCTCCCACTTGTTTTAGGTCTGTTATTTACTTTTTATTGTTTGTCTATTTAAACATAGACAAAGACTACACTGGTAAGCTAGTATTGGTCAGTTCACAACTTGATTTGTAGTGGCTTGATAGTATCAATATTTAGACCAGGTATTTCCCAAATACACACACCATACTCGTAACCAACCGCAATAAATCTTATTATAATCTATACTAATATATCTACAGTGGTTTTTACGGATGTTCCGTTATAACTACTGAACCGTGCATCCGATTGGCTTGAAACTTGGTATCCATGTAGAAAATACATGTACTTAATGAATAGGCTAATATTTATATGAGTGTTGGACTCCCTACACCAGTTGCGGGGGCGTTAATGATGAGAATCTTTGTGGGGGTGAGAAATAATAATGTTATATTTAAATGCCCAGCGAAGCGGACGGGTACAGCTAGTCTTATTATTATAAATTGGTAAATGTAATTTATATAAAAATTGGAAAAGAAATCTGAGATAGCATTTTTAAAGTAAATTTGAATATGAGCGTCTGGAGTAGCTTATCAGTTGATTTTGGAAAAGGAGTCTTTTGCCGAAAATAGTTTTGGAATCCTGGCTCTAAACGTAATCATTCGTCAGCTGGACCTTTGAGACACACGTACTTTACGACCATACAAAAATAAGGGAGATCTCAAACCGCAAACTATTCGCCATTTCCATTCCAACACAACGTAGGTTGATCTAGTAATTTCTAAAAATATAACTGTCGATTCCAGTGTAATTGAGCTCTATAGTGAGGTCGTGAACGACATGACATTTGATCCGAATCAGAACGTAGGCTAAGCTCTCCAATTACGGTAAATAAAAAAAGCTAGGATCGTCCGCGAATATTTTTATTTGTAACCAATTTAACTTTTACTGGTGGTAGGACCACTTGTGAGTCCGCGCGGATAGGTACCACCACCCCGCCTATTTCTGCCGTGAAGCAGTCATGCGTTTCGGTTTGAAGGGTGTGGCAGCCGTTGTAACCATACTGAGCTCTTGTTACTTATATCTCAAGGTGGGTGGCGCATTTACGTTGTAGATGTCTGTGGGCTGCAGTAACCACTTAACACCAAGAGGCTGTGAGCCGTGTGAATAAAAAAAAAATCACTGTAATTGTCGTTCTCATTGTCCACAGCTGCCCTAAGCGAGATAGGCGGGAGCGGCACAAGCTCCTCATCCTCGCATTTGTCTCCGGCATGGCAAGTCAACGAGCTCGATCTGGACTTGCCCGTCGAACTGTCCATGAAGTTAGTACTTCTTTGTTATTGTAGCAGAGTTCAGCCCACGCTTAGGCCAATAAGGGCGAAGCGGCTTCGAGAACTGTTAGAGCACCATATGCAATATTTGTGATACCCAATATTAATAGACAGTTTGGGGATACGAAAAGGTAGATCTTGCTTGTTATTTTAGCACAGTTGAGCTCAAGCCACGGCCAATAAGGGGGAAGCGGCTTCGAGAACTGTTATAGCACCATACGCAATATTTGTTATACCCAATATTCGTAGACAATTTGGGTATACGACAAGGTAGATCTTCCACAGAGCACGCGGTTCGATAAATCGACGATCTATGGACCTGGAATATGTGCAAGTTTATCTCGTAAATTTCCTTAGGGCGAAACAGGTTTTTGCCATATTAATCTCCATCTATGATAGCTACCGCCATAGGGGAATGAAATAACGGTATGATTACTATTATTGTGAACCAATTTTGAGTGCAGAAGCTTGTGAGGCGTGTGAGTTGCATACCGATATAACGTTTTTATAGTTCTTAAAAGTTGAATATCAGTTTAGCTACCCACCCATGAAGCCAAATATCTTAAAGCCCTCCAGGTATTGCTATCCCACCTATTTCTGCTGGTACGCATTCACGCGTTTTGATTAGAATCAAGCAAGAAAAAAGCCGTCGTACAATAAATTTAAGACAACCTCAGGCGCCATCTATATTTAAAGATCATAAACTTATCTAACTTATCTGCTAGTGACATCTGTGATTGACAACCCGAACTATTTGTACAGCGAAGCGTTGCTGTCGCTTCCATCGTTGGCGGTGTTCAAACAGGAGGCTCCGTCTCCGACGGGCGCGGTGCTCTCGCCCCCCCGCCGCCACTGGCCCGTCCCCCGACGGAATGACGATCGGCAGGTAGGTACAGCGACTACATTCAAAGATAATATAAGCCGCGCCAATAAAGAAACGAATCGAAAATGGTGTCTATGTACCTGCACTGACAGATGGTAGGGTCAACAAATAAAAAGAAAAATAGAAAGAAAAAGTTGTTTGTTGTAAAAAAAATATAAAAAAACAAATGAAAATGTACTTTACTTTGGTGCCCTGGCAGAGGCAAAATAACAACGAAATAACCAACAAATGCAGCAAATAACAACAGAATTTGAGAGAAAACAGAGCGCGTCGAGACATTGTGAGAACAAAGTTAGAACTGATATTTTTTTGCATGCAGTACGCGCCGTGTGCGACTGAAGACAGCAATAGCTTAGAGTGAGAGCGCATGATCGCCGCCGCCATTTTAGATCCGTTTCTTTATTGGCGCGGCTTATACACATAAATTAATTATAGATAAGCAACTCGAGCACTCAACAAAAATGTTTACGGGCGTCGGCCACTAGATGGCTTCTTTTCAATCAGTTTCTTATTGCTTCTGTAGATGGCAGTAACATATTAACTATCCTATATTTTATTTTTAATGAAGGATTTTGTAAATGTTCAGAAAATACAAATTGATAAAATTTAAACAATTTGTCTACAACAAATAGACTTGTATGATTTTTGTTTTTTCTGTGTTTACTTACACAATAATGAAATACCCTAACTATAGCAACATATAAGTTTAGAGACATCCGCTACAAGATGTCGCTAGTTTCCATGCAAATAATATTTGTCTTTTTTTTATTGCCCTTGTAGGCAGACGAGCATACGGCCCACCTGATGGTGAGTGGTTACCGTCGCCCATGAACTTCAGCAATGCCAGGAGCAGAGCCAAGCCGCTGCCTACCGTGTCTTAAATTATCGCTGTTTCAGGGCTCTGCCTACATTAACGTGTTGACTCCCATGTAGGTCACCGGTGCCCTACGCGACCCTGTAACTTTGTGTTGTGATAACATGACGAACTTTTACTGGTGGTAGGACCTCATGTGAGTCCGCACGGGTAGGTACCACCACCCCGCCTATTTCTGCCATGAAGGGTGGGACAGCCGTTGTAACTATACTTGAGACCTTAGAACTTATATCTCAAGTTGGGTGGCGCATTTGCGTTGTAAATGTCTATGGGCTCCAGTAACCACTTAACATCAGGTGAGCTGTGAGCTCGTCCACTCATCTAAGCAATAAAAAAAATCGTTTTGACAATGACAATACCAACTGCATTGAATGTTAAATTTGACAGATGACAAGCATGGTTGTCGACGGAGCCCGTGACGGCATGGACGAGTGCCAGCAGTCGCCTTCACACAACGGAAACGCTATGCAGCATGGTAATATGGAGTTTTTAATTTTTCAAGCCGTAATGGACCGTGGTACCTACCCGTACGGTCCATCGGTGAAAACCAATGTCGACTTATCAACCTCGCCAATCCGCCGATTTCTAAATTTATGAGGAATTGTTCGAGATGATACTGGCATCTCGTTTTTACCATCGCACCGCCCGCCACCGGAGTAGAGTTCATCCATACTACCTGGAGCCACTGCGGTCATCCACAGTGCGTTTCCAGAGGTCTTTTTTGCCACGTACCATCCGGCTATGGAATGAGCTCTCCTCCATGGTGTTTCCCGAGCGCTATGACATGTCCTTCTTCAAACGAGGCTTGTGGAGAGTATTAAGTGGTAGGCAGCAGCTTGGCTCTGCCCCTAGCATTGCTGAAGTCCATGGGCGAAGGTATCCACTCACCATCAGGTGGGCCGTATGCTCGACTGCCTGCCTACAAGGGCAATAAAAAAAAATATTTTTTTTTTTAATCCTAAGGGTCCTTCTGCTAAATTAAATTTATTATCAGCAGCGCCATCTATGAACCGTTCCCACGAAATACGATTTTGTTCTCAGGAAGTCCCGACGCGTTGCAATGCCAACAGCAGATGCCGCCGAGCGCCGTCATGCCCATGAACGGTTACCATTCACCAAACGAACACGAGAATAAAAGTGAGTTTTTTTTTTTAATTATTCAATTTTTAATCAACATTATGGGGACATTAGGGGCTGGAGATGGAGAAATATAATCGAACGAGTAGGTGAACTCACGGGGCTCTATAACCTGAAGATGTTGCTAACACTGAACCTAGCAAGGGCAGTGCTTCGCAGAATCTACCACCAGATCGGAAACGCGACCCACTGAGAAGACCCGGCGAGAAACTCAGTGGGCTGTGTCTGTGAGTACATAATGATACCACGCGGTCTACTTTACAAGGTCGAGTCTCAGTTGTATTCTACAACGGATACTACAAGACCGTTGGTAGAACGTCTTGTGAGTCGGGTAGGTACCACCCTGCCTATTTCTGCCGTGAAGCAGTAATGCATTTGGATTTGAAGGGCGGGGCAGCAGTTGTATTGTTAAAAGCCACTCACTCAACCACCAACACCAGGTAGGCAGTGAGCTCGTCCACACATCTAAGCAATTGGTATATTTGTGGGTTTGGTTTTTGATCCCACGATGCGATTCGTTCACCATCCGACTAAGCCCAGCCGACTCCGCCCATAGACGCTGGTTTGCTGATCTGCTCCCCGGTGGGCTCGCTGGAGGGCTACCTGCACTCTCCACCACACCTGCAGCAGCGCTCCGACTCCAGCTTCAAGGATGACACCAGGTATATAGATGTTCTCTTTCTTCTTCTATTAATTTTAGTATGACAAACGGCTTTTAGATCCTATTGTTGCTAACCTCTAGTATACAGGGTCTGTCGTGATTAGTGGGTAACCCGTTAACCGGGGGTAGCCCGGATGTCTAACTCTAAGTAAATCTACTTTGTGTGTCAGGGTTGTCAACACTGCGAATGTTGTCAATGTTTTTTGTGTTTTTTCTAAAATCTTCTATCGTGACTAGTAATTTGGCCATAATTTTTACAAATTATGATATTTTGGTGTGCTTTTTTTGTATTTTACTTGGAATACTTTTACTTTGATCAGCAAGTTTCACATATGCCCTTAGACACGGGGTAACCTTTGAACCTTTGTACCCAGTCTAAGAAAGCAATAAGATCATGGTAGCTATCATACAGGCTCAGAACCTAACACCAGTAATACAGTGGTTCCAATGTCCTAGCCACATCTTCCAGAAACCTCTAGAAAGTTCCGATGGTATTCCGACCCACCCACAGGTTCCAGTACGTTCTGGCCGCAGCGACTTCGATAGCAACCAAACAGAACGAGGAAACCCTGACCTACCTCAACCAAGGCCAGTCCTACGAAATCAAACTCAAGAAGCTCGGAGACTTGTCACATTACAAAGGAAAGCTGCTTAAAGTAAGTGTTCTGAGGAGTTGAACGGGTGACCATGACCCCACTTTGACATAAGATCCCGTCATAAGACATTTGTATGGTGTTCCATGGGGTAATGCTAGTTAACTATCTCACTGCTGGTCTTGTCCGCGCGGTAGGCACCACCACCCTGCCTATTTCTGCCGTGAAGCAGTAATGGGTTTCAGTTTGAAGGGCAGCCGTTGTAACTATACTGAGATCTTAGAACTTATGTTTCAGGGTGGGTGTTGGCATTTACGTAGTAGATGTCTCCATGGGCTCCAGTAACCACTTAACACCAGATGGGTTGTGAGCTCGTCCACCTATCTAAGCAATTAAAAAGCCTTTTCTTGTAGCATCATGGAGGGCACAAGAAATAGCAAAGAGAAGATCTTCCACTGGTGTTCAGTAGACTTTATGTGAATTTTCGCAACTTTTATACAATGCAATCTTCAATCATGTAAATGTCGTTAGTGCGGTTTTTTTATTGCTTAGGTGGACGAGCTCACAGCCCACCTGGTGTTAAGTTGTTACTGGAGCCCAGACATCTACAACGCAAATGTCGCCACCCACCCTGAGATATAAGTTCTAAGGTCTCAGTGTAGTTACAACGGCTGCTCTACCCGTCAAACTGAAACACATTACTGCTTCACGGCAGAAATAGGCGGGGTGGCGGTACCTACCCGTCACGCGAGGTCCTACCACCAGTTTAAGTTTTTACTCGATTTCTTCTCTGCTATGATGTATCTATTGGATCTGGAACCTTAATTGAACGAGTCCGTGTTCTGTAGTGCCTTACAGTGTAGTACCTTCGCTTTGTTCCCAGAGCGTCATCAAGATATGCTTCCACGAGCGCCGCTTGCAGTACATGGAAAGGGAGCAGATAGCGCAGTGGCACGCCGAGAGACCGGGGGAGAGGATCGTAGAGGTGAGTGTCGTGGATACACGTATATTCAAAGTGGAATGCATACTCGTGGTGCATATTCTTGGCGTTCCTCTATCGATAGTGGCACGATGCAACACGTGGCTTTGCTTAACTTCAAGTTGCATAGCCTTGCCACACGTGGCGTGGCTTTTCAGCATGTTGCGCAGATTTGCCACACTTGCGTAGCCATGCCACACGTGGCGTAGCTTTTTAACATGTTGCACAGATTTGCCACACGTGGCGTAGCCTTGCAACATGTTGCGTGGCTTTTCAACATGTGGCGTAGATTTTGTCGTGACTTTTCTACAAGTTGCGTAGATTTCCCACACGTTACATCATAACCTTGCAACACGTGACGTACTATGTGCCGACACAAACTCTACACACTTCTTCTCTTATTTTATTTAAAAATAAAAAAATATATTTAAAAAATTGTAATTTCCTGCCACCAGGTGGACGTGCCTCTCTCGTATGGCATTATAAAAGTGGAACAATCCACAGCACTGAACGCGCTCCACGTCTACTGGGACGCCACCAAGGACGTGGGTGTTTATATAAAGGTAAACTAATTTACCGTTACTTTTTTTATTTCTTTATTGTTTTATTTTGATTTAGAGAGATGGACTTTATTCATTTTTTAATATTATTTATAAAAAGAGAGAAATAATCTTGTAATAAAAATCAAACCCGCAAAATTCTAATTTGCGTAATTACTGGTGGTAGGACCGCTTGTGAGTTCGCACGGGTAGGTACCACCACCTCGCCTACTTTTGCCGTGACGCAGTAATGCGTTTCGGTTTGAAGGGTGGGGCAAACGTTGTAACTCTACTGAGACCTTAAAACTCGTATCTCAAGGTGGGTGGCGCATTTACGTTGTAGACGTCTATGGGCTGCGGTATTCACGTAACACCAGTTGGGCTGTGAGGTCGTTCACCCATGTATGCAATTAAAAAAAAAACTTCAGAGTTCCAATCACGTTCCCTGACCAGCTAATCTTGTCCGACAGGTGAACTGCATCTCAACGGAATTCACAGCCAAGAAGCACGGCGGCGAGAAGGGAGTCCCGTTCCGTATACAGGTCGAGACTTATCTCGCGAGCGACGAGAACAATCGTCTGAACGCCGCCGCCTGCCAGATCAAGGTACAGATGCATTTTTTATTTATTCTATTTCAGCTTCTCCTTGACGTGTAGGTGAGCTCACGGTGCTCTAACCTGAAGATGCTGCTAACACTAGCACTAACAAGAGCAGTGCGTCGCAGAATCTACCAGCGGATCGGAATCGCGACCCACTGAGAAGATCCGGCGAGAAATTCAGTGCGAGAGATACACAAGAGCACGGGTAGTGCAGTGAGAAACTTAGACTAGCGCCATCTGTTATTGTGGGGCTTTACTAATTGGTATTGTTATTTCTTCCTTTTTTTAAGTACGGCAATTGGCTTCTTGCCATTGTTGTCAGATTCAAGTTTGTAAAAAATATGATTATTTAATACAAAATTTGTAATATGAAAAATGTTATCTTGTTTAATTTAATTAATTATTTTACTTATTTTAATTAATTTTACTTAGTTTTGTAATATGATGTATTTGTTTTGCAAAAAGGTATTCAAATTGAAAGGCGCCGATCGCAAACACAAACAGGACAGGGAGAAGGTGCTGCGCAGACCGAGGGCCGATCTGGACAAGTACCAGCCCGCCTGCGAGGCCACTGTGCTGACTACGGTAAATCATATTAACCGACCGATCGATATTCGACCTTAATCACCGTAAAAAGAAGGCTGAAATTCGTCTTTCCTTAAAAACTACAAAAAACTTATTTTTCAAATTTTCCTAGTGAAAGTAGAAAAAAAAATTACTAATGTGCCAACAATCCTAAACATGATTTTATTAAAATGACCTGTCTATTTAACGCAATACATTAAAGGTAATTTTCAATTGTAATATCAAAAGAAATTCTATGTAATTTGAAAATTTGCTCACACACCACAAACTGATGATGGTACAAGAATTTTATTAATTTAACCAAATACCCTGACCTGGGTCACAGAGAAAAATATTCTCCAGATGTTCCCTTATAACTACTGAACCATGCATCCAATTGACTTGAAACTTGGTATCCATGTAGACAATACATGTACTTAATGGATAGGCTAATAATTATATGAGTGTTAGACTCATACGACGAATAGAGCAGACGAGCATACGGCCCACTTGATGGTGAGTGGTTACCGTCGCCCATGGCCTTCAGCAATGCCAGGGGCAGAGCCAAGCCGCTGCCTACCTAAAGCTGTTCAAAGTCAATAAATCGAACAGCACTGATTTTCAGTCACCCCCGTTTCCCCTTGGTTCATTGCGAGAATGAAGGCTAGGTACGTGTATACAGACTTAGAACATGGTAAAAAATAGTATAAAAAAAAAAGAAAAAAAAAAGAAAGCAAAAATCAAATTAAATGGTGAACCCGAATACAGAACATACATAAGCACACACAGTAATAACAACCTGTGGGCAGTCTACAACGAAACAACAAAGAATATAAAATAAAATAAAATAAAGCACGATAATACTATTACTATTACTGGCAAGCAGAATATCATTTACATTATTAAAAATAATTTTAATAAAAGATAATTTTCACAAGCAAGGTTTAAACTAGTTACTGTAAATACAATAATTTAAATTAGTTTTTGTGAGTGTGTATATGTTTGAATGGTGAACTGATGTACCAACAGTTGTCACACGACGCGCTGATGCCGCCGCCCTCACTGGTCACCACCTCGCCGTCCTACTCGCCAGAGCTGTGGTGAGTACTTACAAGATATAAAATCACAAGAACTGAACAGATTTTATTTTGAAACCGACTTCAAAAATGTAGAAGCTTTTCGCTTTTTACTGGTAGTAGGACCTCTTGTCAATCTACACGGGTAGGTACCACCACCCTGCCTGTATCTGCCGTGAAGCAGTAATACGTTTCGGTTTGAAGGGTGGGGCAGCCGTTGTAACTATACTGAGACCTTATCATATATCTCAAGGTGGGTGGCGCATTTACGTTGTAGATGTCTATGGGCTCCAGTAACCACTTAACACCAAGTGGGCTGTAAGATCGTCCACCCATCTAAACAATAAAAAAAAAACTAAAACCACCGAGACTGACGGACAGACTTAAGCGGGCGTCTTAGAGTCAGTGAAAATGAGGTTCAAAGTTTCCATTGCATACAACCAAACCTACCAACATACATATACTGGGTGTTGGGAGACCGCTTCCGACAACGAAGACAGACGATAGTACTAATCACACCTTTGATGATGGGACGTAAAAAAAAACGATCCTGATTTTTAAAAAAATGTCATATTTTAAAACGTTTTATTGGCATTATTTACGCTCCTTCATGTTAGTACAACTAAATGAAATGATAGTTACATAAAAAATACATTACTTTACTTTTTTTTTAAAATCAGCAATGAAACACAAAATCATAAACAGCTGATGCTCGGGTCAACGAACCCCGGGGCGCGGCGTTTCTTTGAAAACTCTATACACATACGTACACACAATACGTTTGTAATTCTACATTTGTATATTTCATCTTCTTCTTTTTTTTAACTATGTTGGTGAAGAAGAAGAGGCAAGCAGTGGTGTACAAAGAAATGATTGTTTTATTTTTTCTTCCAAATTATATTTGAAATAACGGCCGTGACGATATACGTGTTGATTTTTTTTGGTAGTATTGTGCGCATAGTACTACTCTAATAATTGGTTTCTTCCACTTCGATAAAGCGGCACGACACGAGAACCCTCTCATCGTGGCCGCCGGTAACTACATTCCCGATCCTGCGGAAAGAATGGAAAGCAGTCGACGTCGCCCAAAACACGTCATCTCGGATTCTCCCGATTCACTAACGGTGCTTCTAGGTACTTCAAGCACCGGTCACCGTTCTCGTCGAACCCGTCGCTTGCGACGAAGGGCTCGACGAGTAAATTAACTCTCAGACACAGCCCACTGAGTTTCTCGCCGGATCTTCTCAGTGGGTCGCGTTTCCGATCCGGTGGTAGATTCTGCGAAGCACGGCTCTTGCTAGGGTTCGTGTTAGCNCTTAACTCTCAGACACAGCCCACTGAGTTTCTCGCCGGATCTTCTCAGTGGGTCGCGTTTCCGATCCGGTGGTAGATTCTGCGAAGCACGGCTCTTGCTAGGGTTCGTGTTAGCAACGTCGTCAGGTTTGAGCCCCGTGAGCTCACCTACTAGTTACGGTTACGCTGGAATAGCCTCTCAAGGCTACCAGCTTAGGTAGGATAAAAAAAAGGTTTCTTGCGATGCCATTGTTGCCAGTTTTGAATTTAGCAAAATTAGTTTAGGTCAGTTATTAAATAAATAGATGTATAACTGTTTCGAAAAAAAATATATACCTATGAAGTGAAATAAGTTGAAGTTGATTAATTTGAAACTTTTAATCAGTTCGGATGAAATTAAATGAAATTGATTGTAATAAAAATCAGTAAACTGTAGGATGTTTAGTGAGAGTTAAATGGACTTTTTGGAAGAACCCAAAAAGTAACGTTCGGTGAGTTTCTTTCATTTTCTCACACTTTTTTTACTTTCACCGATCGTAAACGGCTCGTTAACCTCCATTATCACACGATTAAACTTTAACAAACAAAAATAAACATGTCTCACAGCTCCACTCCTCGCGCTCCCAAAAAAAAAAAAAACCTTAACTATATTTAGACACAAGGATGTAAGCGCGGCACAAATAAAACCGCTTATTACCGGCAACCGAAAACTAAATATAGACCGCACAATTTACCCAATAATACGCCCGTATGTCCAATGAGATCTGGTTCATTTTAATATCTGTTAGGGCTGTGACAGCAATAACTGCTATTTTTTTATTAATCTATTGTATAGTTCAATTTCTAATAATAGATAGTTAATATGGATTTTAATCAAATCGATCAAAAACTATAGCATTGGCATATTGACATAGGATTGTATTTTAAGTCAGTGGAAAATTAACAATTAGCAATTTAAAAAGCCAGACTCAGACAATACTTTCGAATCAAAAATTAACTATTAAACGCGTATACGATTTACTAACATGAACCCAGAACACTCTGATAATAAAAATTAAACTTTCAGATAATTTCTGTTAATTTCTGACGCTACTAAAATAGTTTTTTTTACAATTGATTACACTGGTAGTATGGCACGGGCAAATACCACAATCCTGTTTCTGCCGCGAAAGTTGCGTTTCGGTTCTAAAGAGATAAATTGTCATCGAAACAAGTGAACCTGATAAAACTACCTTCGGATATGGTCTATTCGTTTGTAATGTCTATGAATCCACCAATGGACAAGTGTAAAATTTATAATATTTCCCATATTTACTTATATATAAAAAAGCTCATCTACACTACCGCAAGCGATTGTCCTACTCTAGTTTATGCATTAGTGGCTTTTTTATTTTCCTTGTTGGTTAGATGAGCATACGGCCTCCCTGATGGTGAGTGGTTACCGTCGCTCATGGACGACAGCAATGCCAGGGGCAAAGCCAAGCCGCTGCTTACCGTTTACCTCATTTCGGATCCTCCCGATCCACTAACGGTGCTTTTAGGTACCCCAAGCACCGGTCATCGTTCTCGTCGAACCCGTCACTTGCGACGAAGAGCTCGGCGAGTAAACTAACCCACAGACACAGCCCACTGAGTTTCTCGCCGGATCTTCTCAGTGGGTCGCGTTTCCGATCCAGTGGTAGATTCTGCGAAAGATTCTGCACGGCTCTTGCTAGGGTTCATGTTAGCAACAACGTCAGGTTTCAGCCCCGCGAGCTCACCTACTAGTTCGGCGAATCTAGAATAACCCCTTGAGGTTACTAGAATAAGTAGGAAAAAAATCACCCGTTTACTTATAGGGTAGTCCAATACGGTTCTTCGCAATTGGCTCTTATTACTACATGTTAATTGATAGTCTCTTGTGAATTAATCGTTTAACATATCTCTTTGTTAACTAGACATGCCTTGCAGTTTCATCCGCGTCAAATTTGGAATTTCGATATAATATTGCCTAGGTCATGTCATCTACCAAGTTGCAAACTATATTTTTGCGTAAGTTCATCTGAGTCTGTTCTCGGACTTTTACTCGGTTGAGTAAATTTGCCACGTACCATCTGGCTATGGAATGAGCTCCCCTCCACGGTGTTTTCCGAGCGCTATGACATGTCCTTCTTTAAAAGAGGCTTGTGGAGAGTATTAAGCGGTAGGCAGCGGTTTGGCTCCGCCCCTGGCGTTGCTGAAATCCATGGGCGACGGTAACCACTCACCATCAGGTGGGCCATATGCTCGCCTTCCTACAAAGGCAATAAATTTCGCAAAAAAATTCGATTATAGTATTATTATTATTACTATCGGAAAGCTAATCTTTTCTTAGCACTTTGGCTAGTTTATTATTATTATTATTACTGACGGTCGGTAGCTTTGAACTTACAATAATGTGAAAGATACCATTCTCGAAGCCTAATTAAGTTTGATCGAAATTTGTTATTTAATAAAAATAAACTTTAAAAATTGTATTTTGTCGATTCAAATGCTATTCTATTACATTACGATATTATATTATACAAATTAAATTATATTTCAAATACAGCCATTTAATGAAAAATGTAATGAATAAAAGTTTGCTCTTAGAACATCTCATACATACCTACTCATATAATATGATACCTTATATTTTATATTTTTAATATAATATATTGTTAATGAACTCTACAAACAGTACTCCAGATACAAATCTGTCGTTATGTACATAAACAAAAGGCACGTTTGTGCATATAATAACACATATATATTGATATTGATTGATGATTTAACTGGTGGTAGGACCTCTTGTGAGTCCGCACGGGTAGGTACCACCGCCCCGCCTATTTCTGTCATGAAGCAGTAATGCGTTTCGGTTTGAAGGACGGGGCAGCCGTTGTAACTATACTGAGAACTTAGAACTTATATCTCAAGATGGGTGGTGCATTTATGTTGTAGATGTCTATGGGCTCCGGTAACCACTTAACACCAGGTGGGCTGTGAACTCGTCCACCCATCAAAGCAATAAAAAAAATTATAATAATAATTTCGTAATCTTATTGGCAAGCCCTATTCATATTATTTAAATTTCAATATATCTATTAACGTTTTGAGATGAAACTGAGAAGTTTTGAAAGAAACAAACCGTTTGAATTCAACAAATCGACTCATATAAAAACACGACATCCTTTCGTTCAATGAATTCGAATAGGGGGAGTGTCGTTGTGGTCCCATTTTCGTGTGTCGAGCTCTTCTATATATAGATTTCGTGGTCGACGCGTACAAACGTTTGATCCTGTTTGATGCAGTTACAATACTAGTTTACAAAACTGAATTCGGTTCGGTTTGCTTCTTCATTGTCTTACTAGCGGCCCGCTTCGGCTCCGCTCGGGTCTTTAACAAAAACTTCAACGATATTTGACGTTGTTTTATTTTCTAAAATAAAAGAAGACTTATTGTGGCATAACTACAATAGTTAGACATATGCTGTCGCGACACTTTTTGTAAATAATAATGTGTTCTACAAAGTGGTAATACATTATTTTATTCTATCATCAATAGTTTTCGCAGGGCACGCGATGTAAATAATATTTTAAGTAATTTTTTTACACCTTGGGTTACATTATTGGAGTTTTAGTAAGGATCTCTATTTTTATTCAAAAAAGATTATAGCTTAAGTCATTTGCGAATAAAGTAGCTTCCAAACAGTCAAATAATTTTTCAAATCGGTTCAGTAGTTTCGGAACTATTCAATACAAACATACAAACAAAGATTTCCTCTTTATAATATTAGTATAGAAGTATAGATATCGACAGTAGAGCATATCGAACCGGATCAGTAATTTACTCAGCTGAGACCCTTACAGGTTACTAAAGGCATTAACTGGATGAACAGTAATGAACTAAAATTTAAAAACGACTAAAAATTAAATCCTATTCGATCGTAATAACATATTTTCTTCTGGAATTTTCCCAGCACACCTTACTGTATACAAAACGTCTTTATAATTTACAAAAATAACCTCAAGTGTACGACAGACTGTTGCGACATACAAAATACCATTGTATAAATATGATTACGCAATCAGCAGTGCTTCGTTCGTCTCATTGTTCGTCAGCGAGCCATACTGTCACTCTAGTTAGTATAAAGGATTCGTCCTTGCTAAAGGTCGACGGCATTAAACATTAAATTAGCATCACATCGTTTTGGTTGCTTACGCGCTACGTAGTCGATTAACTTGACCTGTGGACAAACCACAATAACTAACTTTTTATGTTTGAGAGATTACTGGTGGCAGGAGGCCTTTCTAGTTTTACCAGGGCAGGTGGGCGAGCAAGGGCTCAGCCAGGAGGAGACAATAATCAACTACTACCCACTTCTGTGTATAATATGAAATTCAGTAAACGTTTAAGGAAAAATACTAATAAGATTGTAATTTTATCATTACTGACGTAACTCACGGTTCGGGTATTTAATTGCTGATTTATTACCGGCGTCAGGGTTTGTCAATTGTCATAATTTTTAAAAATAGTTAGAATAATCTCATAGGCGTTAGACGTTTCATTCTACCCTAATTCCACTCTTTACATACATATATTCACCTAAAAGTCATAAATTCCAGGTCACTAAATAGCCCAGTAATTTTTAAAGTCCGATGAGCGATGATTAACTGCATTTATAATTACGTTAATAGATCTATCATTTGATCTAAAAACTGAACAAAAAAATTAAGATAATAATACTATGTATACATATTATGTAACCTACTTACCAAATTCAACTTAGTCATTTTAAATTTACTAGCAATTATCGAAATTGAGCCGATAATTTTAAAGTTATTAGGACATCACCGTAACCCAAATAAATCACATTCACGTGTGTTTTATCTGTTCGTTATCTGCTTTTACGGCACAGAACGATTTGTGACAATATTCATGGTTACACAAGAAACCACAAAAAAAATAATGAAAACGACAAATCCTCGACTAGAATGACCGACACCTAGATTATAAATGACATAACAGTTTTATAGAATTTAAGATAAACCGCTTTTTAAACTAAAGTGCATATTATTTACGCTCAATCAATTTACTGGTGGTAGGACCTCTTGAAAGTCCGCGCGGGTAGGTACCACCACCTTGCCTATTTCTGCCGTAAAGCAGTAATGCATTTCGGTTTGAAGGTTGGGGCAGCCGGTGTCACTATACTTGAGACCTTAGAATTTATATCTCAAGGTGGATAGCGCATTTACGTTGTAGATGTCTATGGGCTCCAGTAACCACTTAACACCAGGTGGGCTGTGAGCTCGTCCACCCATGTAACCAATAAATAAATAAAAACGCGCAAAAACAAACTTTAAGCGGGCCACAGAAACGAAGAAAATTCGACAAAATACCGAATAAAATTCTAGGCGTCATATATTTTATGTATGTTTGAATAATTTTAATATCGTGATTAGTCGCAGCGCAGATAAGACCTAAGATATGCGTGAAGCAATTGTTTATTTATAAAATATCATGCACGTCACATTCCGTGGAGGCACGTTTTTTTATGTTAACCGAGGTCTGGGTCAGACGTTCGTAAAGATTTTTAGTTAAATTAATGGTATTTCTTCCTTCAATTCGTCACCAAAATAAGTATGAGTATAAAAGTAATATATCTCAAATGTCGATAGTAAATATTTAAGGTTATTAAATATGTAGAAAATGAAGAAGAATTTGTAATGCTATAAAACTTATTTCATTCGTATTATCCTGTCCAATAATATATTTTTTATAATCTAGACAATCATTTTAAATTCGTGTTCTATATGTTTCTGTACTGTCAGGAATAAAATAATAGTCTTGTTGCTAAAATTCAACCTATATAAGACCCATAAGCGATTTGCCAACTCCAGTTTATTAAGAAGATCCGGTTTCTTGTTATTTCAACGAATTGGTACTCAATTGGCCCAAACTGCATACGACAATTACTGTATCCGGTTCGTTGCTGATCCTCGCCTAACTCACTCAATTAGGAGCGGTATTGAGCGGCTTTCGGCTAAAAATATATAGTACAACATTCATACTGACGCGTGAATAGGTTTTTAGTTTGAATTACTATCGTTACAAAAACCGATAAAGTAAAATGTATGTCGCATCACTAAAGCAAAGATATACCGCTCGATGCTCCGACGCGAGCTGGCCGCGACCTCTGCAAACCGGCCTCAACCGGTTTTCATCCAATCAACGAATGCGGCTCCCTCTAGCAACCAATCAGTGTTCACGTCAGCCAGTCGTTCTCGTTTCGTTGGTCTTTCAATACGTTGTGCTCTGCATCTATTGTAGTTGTTGATAAACCTATCGTGTCTTGCTAGCTGCAATTCACGATCTCGTGCCAAATTTCATAGTCCGTGTTGCACTAACGCGCATTCTTATTGTGAAAAATAATGTTGGACAAGTAAAGGACTAGAAGTTAGTGCGTTGTTACTGTGATTTATCAATTATTTCGTTGAAACTCGAACAAATGGTTGTAGAAGTAGGTTGCCGGCCAGCTATGGTGATTGAGTGCAAGCGGGAATACCGTGTGGGCTCCGGCGCATTCATCTTCTTCAACCTGACGAGACAAGACTACAGCTGACGAGTAATATGCTCGTTTTCGAGCAGAGAATTCGATTGCGCAATATAGGCCGCGGAGTTGTGCTCAACGCTAGGCTCGTTCACGGCGTGGAAGCGCGCGGTTGGCGGATGAAATTCGGTCTCCTGAAGGCTGACATCGAGATAGAAGCCGACGAGGAAACCTACAGGGAATTGGCGCGTCGTCTCTCCTCCGCCAACGTCCACGTTAGGCCGGCGCGTCGCAGTGCGCTGTAATTATCTGGTTTATACCGCTTTTTCTGGTACCTAAGTCACGGTTTTCGTTTTTTCGTGTCATTGCTTAGCTATTATGCATCTCTATAAAACATTTTGTGTCAACTTCCGTAAAAGTTCGATTCTGCAATCGCAATATTTTTGAGAAATGAAATACCTACTGGCATTAGGTTGTACACTAACATAACGTTGTGAATTTACATAATTTAAAACTTCTCAGTACTTAATTCACTTGAATATCATTTGAAGTTCACAAAGCTAGAACTAAAAGCTGATCAATTCGAAATGTTGGATATCAGTTTAAGATTTGTTTACAAATAAACTTTGTAAGATGAAAAATATTCAGAGTCAAATGTACATACAGACTGATTACCAATTGTTAATAATTGTAAATAGAAACAAATTCATTTTAATTTAAAATGTATTCTCGCAATCTTTACAATTGAATACACCTTCATTTCAACACAAAGCCGAAAATTAAATAGTTTCAATTTAAATTTCTGGTTACGTCCTGTACTCATTAACAAAACACATCCCAGTTGTTAGCTAAATTGATTGCTAAATACACAGAAAGAGAAAACTTGAACTTCTCAGCCATGAACCAATTTACTTAAGTATTTACATGCGTAAATTTTTTTTTTTAATGTAGGCACCGCTATCTTAGAAGCATATATACTGAAACCAATGGCCACCACTACCAGCCACCATTCATCAAACTTAACTTCGAAGTCTTGTGAAAGTCCCCCCTCACCCTTTTCACTGGAATAAATAACCACTTTGCTGCAGAAATAGACAGGACCTTGATTACTCATTTTAAGGCCGCTATTTCACACAAATTAAGCAGTGGTTTTAAGTTTTTGGTATGCTAAGGTCCTCATAATTTTAATTTAATTGTTAATTTTAACTTAATTAATAATAACTAATTATTGTAGACATGATACACTCAACTTGAGTACATACTACATACTGTAAAGAACTAATTTTTACACTTTGATTCTATTAAAGCTCATTAAATTCAAGACTAAATGATAATTGGTAGAGTTAACTTTTTCTTTTACATTTTGACATTCAACAAGTGTGTTTTTGATGACATCCAAGTTGAAATAAATGATTTTGAATTTGAATTTGAATTTGATTGCACTTGTTAATAAGGGTGTATCATGAAATAAATGAAAATGTGCATATGATAAACATAAAAATACCAATAATTCTTGAAAGGATGAATATATATATCAAATAATGGACGAACAAGTGAATAGATCACTCAATGTAAATCCTGTAATCCAGCTTAGCGACGTGAGGTTGGACTCTTAATTGTATTGTAAAGATATTTTTCCAACTTTAAACTGAAACACCTGAATCCTTCACAACATAATTAGACACGGTAATGGTACTTATGATGCAGGCATACAAGATGCCTGACCCCCAGAAAAAATGTAATGATTCATAAGTCAAGATTCCCCTACAATTTTTGATAGCATGTTTCAGATACCTCATTTTTTAGGGTGCTTCAAATACATGTTTCTCTAGTTTTCATTTTCAAATTGTAATTTATTAACTTTTTTATATAATTGTTCCAGTGTGACACCTAAATCTGCTTCGAGCCCTATAGCTACCAAGCCGATTTCTCAACCAGGTAAATATCATTGACTAGTTTAGTTTTTGGGGTAAATTTTGTTCTTTGTCATTCAGTTTCCGGCACCTGTGATACCGGAACAGAATCCTAATTCATTGACCTATTTTTGTTTCCGCATTTGTTCTTATTCGACTAATATCCCAATAAAGTACTTACTTCTCATTAATGTTTTTGTTTACTATAATGTTTTCATAATATACACGCATGCATAAACGGCATATCTTGTGGAAATGAAATAAAATGATGTTTTTTTTGTACACAAAGGTAAACAAGAATACTGTCTGCTTGATGCTAGGTGTTCACCGTCGCTCATGGACGTCGATGACGCCAGGAGTAGAGCCTCTACCAATAAATACTTCTTTCAAACCTTAATTGATGAAGACCATATCGTAGCACTTGGGAAGTACTGTGAAGGGGATATCATTACACAGTTTGATGGTACGTGAGCGAAAAAAAAATAAAAATTCTTCACATTGGTGGTGCATGAATAAAGGAAGAGAAAGGGGTAGATTAATAAAACTGTAGGGCTTTTTTTTTCAATTCGCTTATGGGCATTGTTATGCAGAAATTCGTTGAGAATAAAATTATAAGGGTTAACGAGTCATTTTATTACAAGATATACAGGGGACTACACAATTACCAGAAAGACTTAAATAGAACTGTCGATTAAATTTGATTTGGGTTAATTTATTAAAAATTTATTACATATCAAAAAATTATATTTATTAAACATCAGTACCATTTTTTTTTTTTTAAGAGATTTTATGACCTGGTAACTAAGACCTTTAAGTCATGTCTTATTTTACTTTATATTCTTAATTTTATGAAAAATGATAATATGGAGTGAAATGAAATGAAGATGATTAATTTGAGACATTAATCAACTGGGATGAAATTTAATGAAATGAGATGATATGGGATGAAATATAATCGCAGTAAAATGGTGGTCATTTACTGAGATTTTTTCAGTGGACTTTTTGGAGGAACCCGAGAAGTTACGTCCAGCAGCTTTGTTTCATTTTCCCACATTTGTGCACTTTCACAGATATTAAACAGTTAATAAACCACCATTATTACACATTTAAACCTGAAGAAACACTAAATAGACAAAATAAAACAAATCACACAACTTCACTCCTCGCGTTCCCGCCAAAAAGTCTCAGTACCATTTATGAGTTTGGCATCATAGATAATACACATAAATTAGTTATCAGCAACTCAAGCACTCAACATAAATGTTTACGGGCGTCGGCCACTAGATGGCTTCGCTTCGATTAGTTTCTCCTGTAGATGGCAGTAACATATTACCTATATTTTATTTTTAATGAAGGATTTTGTAAATTTTCAGAAACCACAAATTGATAAAATTTAATCAATTTGTCTCTTGAAACTAATCAAAGCGAAGCCATCTAGCGGCCGACGCACACTGTATTATTATCGAGATCTAGCAGAACTTAATTCAATCTTGCGTGAATTTATCTTTTTTTAATTTTACGTGTCATAAAATGTTAATATTAGATGTTATTTCGTATTTCTAAATAAATAAATAACATTAATTATTAATAAAAATCAATTATTTCTTTATTTTCTTTAAAAATATTATTTTTAATACTGCAACTTTGTTCTAAATACACAAGAAATATATTTTACACCCCTAAATATATTCTAGACTAAAAAAAATTCGCATAACTTTCTACCCATCTTCCTTCGTCGAGTAAGTTTCTTCACCCATGTTCTATTTTGCACTGTTGATTTGGAAGATAGAAGTGGATCTGAACCTATCAGGAATTGGTTAAGTACTTCTCGATTGGTGTTAATTCTGCTTGTTTTCCTGCTGAAATACTCGCGATTCCTCCTATATTCCTTATTGTTCGCTTTTTGAGCTTCTTCTGCTAATTGGTCCAAAGGTAAAACGCATATCTCAATTACTTCTTTTGAGTGTGAGAGGATTTTGTGTATACTAGAAGGCATGTAGTACCAGGAACAATGTACTAAATAAAGTTTTCTTGTCTCTTCGGCATATTATGTCTTGTGCCTCCAAGATAACAGAAATGTTTGATTAAATTCAGATTGATCCCTGTTATTTTCGCTTACATTTCTCCTATTTAGATTGTATTTTTGCTGTAAGACTACTGATTAAAATTTGAAGTGATCTTGGAGGGTTTCTACAGTTCTCTATGTCATAATATTGTAGTATTTTTTCAATTATAAGGTTATTTTGACCTTTTTTTATTACTTGGAAACCATATATTAAAAATATCTCGCCTTTTCATTGCGCTGAAAACAAAAAAAAATGTATGAGCGGGGCAAATAGGAGCAAGGGATTCCAACTAAATTTCAAAGAACATTAACCGTAGAATGCTATAACAGTGATTTCCCGGTGTATACACTTGCATACATTTTTAAAAGTCAACACTAACACACAAAAAAAAATTTTTTCAAGGGCTACAGCAAAAACATTATTAATTAATAACATTTCAATATTATAAGGTTCAAACTTACCTTAACGTATCCTCGATGATATAACGAACGATAAAAATGACCAATTATAGCACTTAAAACGACCAGAACAGACCTGTTCGCATTCTGCAATAAAGCAAAACTAAACAATACACTCGTGCTAGTACGCATAAGCTATGTTTCGAGACTTCCCCTGTGTTGTATGGTGTTACACACTTATTAATTTTATTTAATATCGGTTATTTAGTTATACACCTGTGTAATAAAGGGAGTTTTAGGAATATTTAGAGAGTATTATTTTTTAATTAAGTTCTGCTAGATCTCGATAATAATACAGTGTGCGACGCCCGCAAAACTTTTTGTTGGGTGCTTAAGCTCTAACTAATTTGTGTGTATTATGGTTATTTCACATGAGTAAATAGGAGTACAGAGACAAAGTTTCGAACAGCCGCGCCACGGTACATCACTACAAGCATGATGCGCGTGAGTGCGTGAGCACTGGCGGTTCGTCACGTACGGAACGAAACCTGTTTATACTGGTTCGGCCAGTGCTAAAACAAAGGGCTCGCTCACCGCTAGCTGTGCGTCGCGTCTTGCGTGTTTAAATTTCGAATTTGAATTTATTAGAAAAAGTGTAAATATGGTTTATTGTACTGTTTGCATAAACAACAATCGAAAAGATAAAAACATATCTTTTTTTAATTATCCCAAAAACTTCACTAGGTAAGTAGTAATTATAATTATTTTTTACTTAGATACCTCATATTATGATACGTTTCTGCCTCAATTTCGAAAGAAGTTCATATAGGTACCTACGCGTCCATTCGCCCGCGGCAGACGCAAAAAATCGCTAATCCTGATTATCTTAGTGACAGGATAACGGATCAAACTGTTTAAAACATTGAATTGTTATCGATCCTTAATAAGTATGCCAAATTTCGAATTAATCCGACGTTTTGAAGGGCGTCAAAACCATGTTCAAAGATTCGGTTACATACTAACAAACATACTAATAACATACGTAAGAAGCTAATAAAAGCGTATTCAAAATACGAAGTAAAATTAAATTCGCTGCGTGCGGTGTGTCCGGCGCGGGCTAGTGGACGCGCGTATCCTTTAATAATTTAATAATTATCTGTTTATAAATTTAAAATATTATTCATGGTTTTATTATTATTTCAGACGACAAAAACGGTTACAAGCTGTCAGGCGAGATCTCCTTTTCAAATTTGTAAATGATAAAATAAGTCAACAATACAGAATCTGTGAAGATCACTTTGAAAAACCCTGTATTAAGTTCAAATATTTATTCAGCAATGCTTTTCCTACACTCAACTTGCCGACAAATTACGGAGCCTATTCGAGTTTGAGCCAGTGTGAGAATGTATCTACATCTAATGAGATATTTTCAAGCCAATAGTTATCTTGGGAAATATGAGAAAGACTTTTTCAGCCATTACAATGACTTTAACGAAAGCGGTATACAATTGGGTTTTTTAATAATGCTTACTGACAACTTCATCGCAATTGTTGAATTGCTTGAGAAATAAATTCGAGAATATTTTGATTTAGAAATAAATATTGTCAATATTGGTAGTAATATACAAAAACATACATTAGATTGTACATTTGATATGCCATGCAAGTGCTTTTCCATTGATTATTTAAAAAAAACTTTATATTAGATTTAGAATTTATCTTTCGATTAAGAGGTATAACAAATTTATTAAAAAAACAAAAATTACAAAAAAAAATATACATACATAAAAAAAGCTGAAAAACTTTTTGTGTATTTATTTTAATCCTCCTGTGCCAACCCTATCAGAATAGATAATAATTTTGCTCACTCTTTAGAAGCTTGGTCTCTGTGCGTTTATTATTTACTTATGTGCATATCTTTCTGTTACAGCCATCGTTGGTACTACTAATCAAATGAAGCCGCTGTATTGTCAAGAGTAAGTTCTTTATTACATATGTATATCTTTACATAAAAAGGCAAAAATAAAATAGTCAAGCACTCTTCTCCGTGGGTAAAAAATATTCCAAGTCTGAAAGTGAGCAAACAGGCCTTTTAACTTGTTATTTTGAATGTAGTTTCACCACTGGGAAAGAACCATAAAAAACGTGGCCTTGCTATCATAAGTATGCATCCCTAAGTTATTCTGACAGGATATTAACTTATTGAAGCACAGTGTCAATAGTCTGTACTGACTTACTAGCCCACTGAGTTTCTTCCCGGATCTTCTCAGGGGATCGCGTTTCCGATCCGGTGGTAGATTCTGCGAAGCACGACTCTTGCTAGGGTTCGTGAAGTCAGGTTTGAACCCAGTGACAAGGGGCAAGTAGGTGAGCACTTGCCCCGTGATGCTAATTATGGTCTCTCAAGACCATCAGCTTAGGTAGGAGAAAAAAAAAAGACTGAAATCTCAGTTGCATTAGTGCACTTCATATATCCTGCCTTCGAGATTATTATTACGGCAGGTAACATACTGCAAAGTTTGTAATGTTTCTGAAAATCTTCAATCATTTCAACATTTCTATTGCAAAAAGGAATTGGTAAATTTAACACAGACACAAAACTATATGTATTGTTAAGCAGCATAAATTTTAATATTAATATAAAATCATTTCATTTCATCCCAGGTATTAATGTCTCAAATTAATCATCTTCATTTCATTTAATTTCACTCCCATGTTATAATTTTTCTTAAAAATAAGAATATAAATTAAAATAAGACAAATGATCTAAAGGTCTTAGTCACCAGTTCATAAAATCCAAAAAAAATTGCTTAAATAGCACCTGGTGTGCAAACTCGTCACCGGTCAATATTATTAAACATGGAGAAAGAAAATGGATTGATAATTGATAGCGTGTGAAATTCTAACAGTGCTGGTGAGATGAAGGTGAGCAGCCCAACCTGCCACTCCCCAGGAGCTATCCTGCCTGATCTACCACAGCCTGCTGAGGAACCAGACAAGGTATTTTTAATAATAATTCAGGAATGACTGGTGGTAGGACCTCTTGTGAGTCCGCACGGGTAGGTACCACCGCCCGCCTATTTCTGCCGTGAAGCAATAGTGCGTTTCGGTTCGAAGGGTGGGGCAGCCGTTGTAACTATACTGAGACCTTAGAGCCTATATCTCAAGGTGGGTGGCGCATTTACGTTGTAGATGTCTATGGGCTTCAGTAACTACTTAACACCAGGTGGGCTGTGAGCTCGTCCACCCATCTAAGCAATAAAAAAATATATTTAAAAACCATGACTGGACTGTCACAGAGTTTCATGCATTGTACTCTTGGTTACTACTATATTTTTTTTAAATCGCCGTCATTATTAAATTATCGGTTAGATGAGATGAAAGCTAGTGTCTTTAATTGTCAGTCAAATAGCTAGGTTTCTTTTCTTTGCAGAACTTTGGATTATCAAAAGATGCCACCTCCGCCGAGACTCAGGTGTGGTTGTCCCGACAACGGTTCATGCAACATGCCGCTACATTCGCGAACTTTTCCGGGGCTGATCTGCTGAGGTGAATCCATGTTCTTGATTGTAAATACTAACTGATATGATATAAAAAAGAAATGGTGCGTTTGGAACTTGGTGCACTTGAAAGAAGTGACAGATAGGCAGCGGCTTGGCTCTGCCTCTGTCATTGCTGATGTCCATAAGAGAAACAACCTCTTCGCCATTTATATAATATATTTTTAAGTTATATATAGAAAAATAAATATATACATTTTTTATGTCGTTCATTAAAAATAAAATATTAAATCAAACATAAGAATCTTCTAACTGTCTAAGAATCTTTCAGTAATTATAATATAATTAAAATTATGAAGTCATAAAAATTTTAATACCTTTTAATTGATTTGGTATCAAGTCAAGGCAACGCATTAGTTTACTTTCCCGGGATAAAACGTAACTGTCACTCTCCTGACTGAATATTATCACTTTAAAACAATCAAACAAACAAATTATATAGATAGTAAATATATGTCACAATATTTTTCTTTGCAATCTGTAAATAACCGCTATTTTCATTCTCAGACTATCCCGTGATGACATTATCCAGATCGTCGGACTGGCTGATGGCATACGTCTGTTCAACGCACTTCACGCCAAGTAAGTATGAACTATACATGTATTTTATATACTACCTACTAACTTTAACTTTAGGGAGCTATTATAACTTGATGAGCTGTATAGGGAATTTGGTGGGCCTGAGACATTTTGCCAGCATCTGTCTCACACTCACACAAGAGAGTGCTTTGATGCATCTAAAGGCCAACCAGACGAGATAAAAAATGTAAACAAAGTTTCAGGAGTAAAAAACATTTTTATTTAAATAAATTATTACAAAGTTCGAATTTTAATCGCTGTCATCTGTACTAGACAAAGATGATTCGTCGGAAGAGTCCGAGTCAGCTGTGTTTATGATAAAACTATCTATTGTATTATCAATCATGTTGTCAATATTGCTATAAAAATTATCCTCGACTTTTATAACATGATCCACACAATCCAAACAGGAATGAACTTGTTCACAAAATGGCGGACCAAATGTTGACAACTGCGGTACTCAATGCTTTCCTGTACCACGAAACACACAACGACAGCTGTTGTCGACCAACCGACGCCATAACTGCGCGTACGAGTGATAAGGACAGAGATAATAATCCCTCGCTATCGCAATGTAACTCAGTAACGGTCCGCTTGTTTACGTTTATTTTCTCGTCTGGTTGGCCTAAGTTTACCTACTATTCGAAATCACCACCCACTAAGAAGGTGAAGGGTTGTCCCTATGGGTAATATCACATAACTTCCCATATCATAAATACAAAGACACCCACTATGAAGATCTGGGTTGTCTACGTGTTATATCGTGAAACTTCCAAAATCATAAATACGAATACTCCATGTGTGAGATTTTTAATTATTAATTAAAAGAATTGATTAGACGTTGAACATGAACAAATATATCATCAAAACTAAGTAGTTAAGTTAAGTAGAGTTACTGTATTCTCCACAACACTGTATATATCCGCAGACGCATCTCGCCGCGCCTCACGCTGTACGTGTGCCCGCCCTCCTCCGACGTGCACTGCGCGCTCTACCTGCACGCGTGTCGCGCGCACGAGCTGCTGCACAAGCTGAACGCGCTGCAGGGAGCCGGCAGCAAGGTAATGTCCTCATACACTGCGCGCTCTACCCGCACGCGTGTCGCCCATCTTGAAGTCCCATGATTTCTAAGATGTGTCAAAATTAAAGACCCACAAAGTCCAGTAACGATGCCCTAAACACACGTCATTACGGAACATCCCGATCCATTGATCCGGTGCTTTTAGGTACCTCAAGCACCGGTCATCGTTCTCGTCGAACCCGTCGCTTGCGACGAAAGACTCTACGAGTAAATTAACTTATAGACACAGCCCACTGAGTTTCTCGCCGGATCTTCTCAGTGGGTCGCATTTCCGATCCGGTGGTAGATACTATGAAGAACTACTCTTGCTAGGGCCAGTATTAGCAACACTCCCAGTTTGACCCCTCAGGTTACTAGAATAGGTAAGAAAAAAAAACGATCGGTTTATTATATTTGCAGGATTGCGAAACCGTATTGGTGTCCGGTCCGAACGGCGCTCGCGTCCGCCTCACCGACGAGCTAGTGCGACACCTGCCAGACAACTCCACCTATCGCCTCAAGAGACTCGAAGACTGCAACGCTCTGCTGCTAAGCGCCACCACCGGCAACTGACAGACCAAGATGAACTGTCTGTGTTTGGGGTGGACCATACAACATTATTCAATTGTCATCGGTTCACGATTCGTCTGCAATCCTGATCATCATCAGTGTGTAATGCGTAAGAACACGATAAAAAACAAACGTGTGGCACTCGGGAACTGCCGCGGTAAAGCTATTGCATAGCATTTTTTATCAACTTATGCAATTATAATTAGACAATGATAATTTAATATTAAAACAATAATAAAACAAACCACGCTATATTAAACATTAATAAAAGCAAAATCTTAACTGTCCCCTTCACACTCATAAGCTAGACCGCGCGAGAGAGATGGGCAGACTTTTCATGATGCGCATGCAGTGTGACGTCACACCACGCGCTTATTCACAAACACTACACAAGCGCAACGTGTGAATGTGTTGAACGCGAGCTACATGGTAGGCGGAGTGAGGGGTGTAAGGTTTTTTTCGTTACGGAATTTCATGATTCGGTCGCCGCGCTTAAGGCCCGCGATAAAAGCTATGCAATAGCTTAAAAAAAAGAAAGGTAAAAGTGAAACTTTTTTTCACATTTTAGATATTTAACTCTGACAAACAACATTTACATTAAACACTGACAAAAACAAAAACAAAATAGCGTGGAGCACTGGCACAAATGAGTAATAGTCTATACACCACACGGTCAGCTGCTGCGAACTATAGGCGCCGCCATATTGGCCTTGGCTGCTCTGACGAGCGCCTTTCATTGTATCCCTACTCCGCGGCTGACCGTCACGCGACATGCAACACACAGACGAAAAAATTTGAGACGATGTAATAAAAGTTTCACTTTAATAACTATGTTAAGTAATTAAGACGCCAGCACTTTTAATATCATTAATAATGGCTGAAGACTACCATTCTGCGTCCTATCTTCCACTCTCAGCTTACGGTTTGATGGCAGAAAAGCCTGTTTTATTAAACAATTATAATTTGGATTGAGAGGGACCTGTGGCAACTTATAATGTCTACAGACAGACCTATGAGACCACTTAACACGTGGTGGGACCTGATTTGGACTGCACGTCTATCAGATTTGACAACCAAGTCTGCGTACACATTGTGTAAGCCATTGATGATATAAGTTCTAAGCAATTAAGTTTATTATCTTGGGACTTTACAAACGATTTGTTCTAGTTGAACATTTTAATGAGTGTGTGATGATGGATAGTGAACATTTAAAGTGAGACGGGTTGTCTACAGTTAGAATGATCACTAAAAAGGGGCCAGTACATATACAATTGTGTCTTATATTTCACACTAATTCTTCACCACATGTTTTTACTAAAAAAATTATGTAATACTTTTTTTATATATTTGTGCAGCTGAGAATATTTTAATTAGTTTTGTGTTTAGAATTTGAAGGTATTACTGTATGTCGATTATAATCCATACATGTTTGATGTTTTATAACAAAAATATTCTCATCTGCGTAAAGTTTAGTTTTAAGATTTCATATTGTGCAATTTATTATTATTATTATTATTAGGTTATAAAAATGCGTTGTCATACAACCTGTTTTTAAGGCAGACCATAAAACTATTCGTTATTTAGAGAAATAATTATTATTTGTTAAGCGTCTGAGCCTTATCGGACGTAGGTGAAAGCCATGGTATATCATATAATTTATAAGTTCTTATAAAGATTTAAATGTAAAATAAGTCTTAGTAAATTAAGTTTTATAGAAATTTTTGATTTTTTTTTTATAGAGAATGAGAAGAAGTCTTTATAAAGACATTAAATATAGATGTATCTTATAGTATTTCGAAATGTCTCTACATATTGCGATACTTGTTGCTTTCTTGAACAACGTAAAATTTGTGAGGACAAAGTCTCACGAATTGAGATGATTTCTAAATATAATATACCTTGAATGCCTTTGATTTTGGCTCAAAAAAAATTTTTAAGTTTGGTAGCTATAACCTGACGTTATAATTTTATTTAGTTTGTATGTTTTTTAACTATAAGGTTTTATGTTCAAAGAATACACTATAAAAAATTGTTTTTGGCAAATCTAAAATTTCAATATAGTGTTTCGGTAACTAATTTAATTGGTTGGTATTTTAATTTCTATGCATATTTCACTGTAATGCTCCCTGTTAGAACAGATATGTTACCGGTTTGGGACAATTTATTCATTTGTTAGTTCGTTGTTGTTCGTTCCATTGACTGTATGTATTGTATATTATTATCAATGTTTCAAGTTCCGACACTACAAAGCTCCGTGTAAAAAAACATAAATGTATATCGAATTATCGTTATCATCTGAACCAGAGTGCTAAAGATTATTTTCTTGCCACCACCACCAAGAAAACAAATTTTCAAAGATATATATAGAATATTGTAAATTATATTAGACGGTAATTTTTTATTTGAAAAAAAAAAACATATATTCTGTAGTTTAATAATTTCAAACACTTTAGTTTTCAAAGTGTGAATTAAACATATTTTTACCACTAGTCGTAAGGTATGTTAGTATATACAGAGGTGCCTTGAGAAGTGCCTCAAACACGCGCTTGTTGCGATTCGGAGTATTATGAATATTTAATTTTAGGTTATTCTAAGTATTTTGGAGCACTAACAAATTTCCTGTCACAACTCGGCAGAAAATATTTATAAAAATGTTTTTTTTGTGAATAAAACCTCTCTTAAATCAATTGCAAATAAAATCGTGGCAAAAATTGTAAATAATCATCTTAAATGTTTTTGTACTTTCTAGAAAACATTAAGTAAGTAGGTTTGATTATTGTAATAATGTTACAGTAAGGAAATAAAAATTCGTTTTTTCTGTAATTCTTTTGCCGAGCTGTGTTTGCAAATAGGAATTGGTTTTGATGTTGAAATTAGACGTGTTATTCTCTTGAATTAAGTTTTTTTGTTATCGTTGCATGTATTAGTTGTAGTCATTATTATATTGTTTGTGTAATCGATTAATAAACAAGTTTATAAACATATGAATTTTATTTAATCATAGTTCCCAAGGCTTTCACTTTATGGCAAAGCCACGGACCACGTCAACAAAAGCAATTATTATGCATTGTAGACGAGCAATATAGAATTGGTGGCTGACTTTGCGACAACCCTGCGTTCATCCGCAGTGCCTTTTTGCCATGCTTTGAAACGGTTGAAATTTGTGTCGGAATTAAATGTCTGGTGTATGTAAATGTATACCAGTTGTGTGAGTAGTAGCCTAGTGTCCGGAGAAATCCAGTCCGTACGGCACTTTTTTCCTTACTTATGCTGATAGCCTTGAGAGGCTATTTCAGTTTCGCCCTAACATGTAGGTGAGCTCTCGGGGCTCAAAATCAAAAAAGTTTTATTCAAATTAAATGAAGGTACACACTTGTTGAACGTCAAAAAGAACTACCGCCAAATCACAAACACTAGCCTCCGTCCTGAGAAGAACTGGCAAAAAACAGCGGGCATGTCTTTTTTTTCTTTCTTTTTTTAATATAAGTTTTTTTTTTAATATTCATTTTTACAATGAGTATTACAACGTAACAATTATTGCAATATTGAAATGCCCGGAGCGAGCAACTCATTCCCACTTTTTGCAATCTTCTAGATAATCATTGAATTTATAGTAAGCTTTATTGCACAGATGTTCTTTAATAGATTTCTTAAGCCTATGTATATGTGGGTTTTGAACATCTTGTGGGATTTTGTTGTACAGGCGCTCAAACCGCAGTGTTGCTAGCATAGATTATACACTTAATATATTTGAGAGTTGCTAGCACTGGCCCTAGCATGAGCAGTGCTTCGCAGAATCTACTGAGGAGATCCGACGAGAAACTCAGTGGGAGTAGGGCACGAGGTGCGCTCCAGTGTACACGGGTGGTCCTTATCAATTTCATGTTCGGTTTAACAGTTTATTATTTGAAGAATACAAAGTGTGTGTTTTGTGCTGCAAAACGATCCACGAACGTCTAAAGAAACTCGTCTATTAGTCCAAGATCCCAGGGCCACCAGACGTCACGTATTTTCTGACGAACGAAATGTGGCCGATTGCCTAGTGTTAGTATGTACTAAGAAAAAAAATTTTTTTTTGGGAAAAACAAAAAAAAAAGCCCGCTGAGTTTGTTTCGGCGGTTCTTCTCAGGACTGGCTTTTTTTGGAACCGGTGGTAGAGTTAACATTGTTATTGACATTCAACAAGTGTGTTATACTGACATCTAAGTTGAAATAAATGATTTTGAATTTGAATTTGAACGCATGCCTCCCTGCTAGTTTGCTTAGATGGCCAATTTACAGGTATCAGGTACTCAAGGTACATAAAATCATTACCAACTTCACGTAAATTCTGAAAGCTGAATTTACGTATATTTTAGGCAATATCCTTAAAAATAAGTCGCCAATGCTTCCAGACACTTTATGTCGGCCGAATTGCTTTGCAGACGCTTTAAGGCTCCCAAAATAATGACCTAACTTCACGTAAATTCTGATGTTTCATTTTTATATATGTCCACTGGACAACTAGCGAGCGATCCAAGGGGCCAATCATCCCCTAAATTCAATGTAATACCTCTGTGAAGAAGTCTACATACTAACACTACGCAATCGGCCACATTTCGTTCGTCAGGAAATACGTGACGTCCGGTGGCCCTGGGATCTTACTCTATATTATTAGCATCCAGTTTAGAAATTAATTTTCAGTCAGAAAGTTTTCGATTCATTAAAACAAAACATGCGTGTATAAAATTTTATTTAAATATTCATAGAAGGCACTTTTTACATCGGACTTATAAATACTGCTCCAATGATATTTTGTGATGAAAATAAAAACAATTATGATGTAACAATTCTGGCTGTTTTATTGAATAAATAAAAGTAACCTAGTGTTGCTATACTAAACAAAACAAATTACCTTAAAATATTTAAAAAAAATCTGGCAATATTAGACATGATTGGTTAAAATACAAGGAATGTGTACATAAATGTATTAAAAAATTACAAGAATTAATTTTGATCAATCTAAAATAAAATACTTTTTCTTAAAGTATTTATTTACAAAAAAAACTACAAACACTGGGTTAAAAAAATAGAAAATTTAAGGACTTAAATTATACCCAGTGTATTTATTATACTAAAAAGTATTCAAATAAAAATAATATAAAATGTATGAAGTATTTAACTAATATGAATTAGCAGTAAGTAAGTATATTATTTTGACGCCACTAAGAGCCTATTACAT